GTAAAGAAGAATATGTCTGGAATACAGGAGATTCTTTAGGATGTCTCTTAGTACTACCATGCCCTGTGATTAAAGTCAATGGAAAATTACAGAAACCCAATTCTGATATGAGTACTAATGGCCCAGACCCTTCAGGAATGAAGGTTTGGGTCACCCTACCAGGCAAAGAACCACTACCAGCTGAGGTGCTTGCTGAGGGCAAGGGAAATACAGAATAGGTGGTGGAAGAAGGTAGTTCTGAATATCACCTACGACCACACGACCAGTTGCAGAAACGAGGACTGTGATTGATATATTTCTTCATTGTATATGTGCATCAAATATTTTTGTTTCCTTGTTAATGAGCTATGAAATGTAAATAAGGTTAATCCATTTTGGTTGTATGCATGTTAGCATACTATGTTAGATGCAAGTATGACTTTATAATATTATTGTCCTTATTTAGAGACTATATAAGGTTAAGAAGATGTGTACAACTGCCAAGTTGACAAGTGGTGGACTGTGATAGTTGGAGCTGTGTGTCAACTTGGCTGGACCACAATTCTGTGTGGTTTAAGCAATTGTGATGTGGGTTGTTCCCATGACAGGATCAGATGTATATGTTTTGAGCAGCCATTCCATTGAAAGGGAGTTTTCCTAGGGGTGTGGCCTGCTTCTAGTATATTTATGGACATCCTGGGAAGAGACACTCTTCTGTGGATCGGGATCCTGTTGTGCTGCCTATAACTGTCTGTGAGCAAACAATCCACCATTCAGCCTGGAGATCTTGGATTTGTCATGCATTGGAGTCAACAGCCAATATTGCCCACCAACCTTGAGCTCTTCAGCCCCTGCAGCTGCATGAGTTGGGAAAAGCCTCCATCTTGACATTTGATCCAAGAACTTGGGACTTGCCAAATTCTATAAGTGTGTGAGCCATTTTCCTAAGATAAATTCCTCTTTCTCTATATATATATATAAGCTTTATTGGTTTTGCTTCTCTAGAGACCCAAGCCTAACACAGGGGGAGAGATAGCCTCTTTAACAAATGGTGCTGGCACAATTGGATATTCACCTGCAGAAAAATGAAATAAGACCCATACCTCACCCCATACACAAAAACAAACTCAAGTTAGATTGAAGACCTAAATGTAAAACTCAAAGCTTTGTAAAGCTTATCAAAGATAAAATAGGGGCAAATGTAGGGACCCTTATTTACAGCATAAATGGACTATCAGGCAAAACCTAAATGCACAGGCAGTGGACGAGAACATAGCTGACTAGGACCTTTTAAAAATTAAATTCTTATGTGCATTGAAAGAGTTCTCCAAAAGGGTAAAAAGAGAACCTAAAGATTGGGAAAAAATATTTGTCTATGACATATCTGACAAAGTACATATCACCAAAATTTATAGAAAACTTCAACACCTCAACACCAAAAAGCAGAAAATCTAGTTCAAAGATGGGCAAGGGACATGAATAGACACTTTACTAAAGATGATATACTGGTGGCCAAGAAACTCATGAGGAAATGATCATGATGATTAGCTATTAGAGAGATGCAAATCAAAACAACAATGAGATATCATCTCACCCCAGCAATAATAGCAAAGTTCCACAAGACAGAAAACAACAAATGCTGGCAAGGTTGTGGAAAGGTTTGAACATACACTGCTGGTGGGACTGCAAAATGTTACAGCCATTGTGGAAAATGGTATGGCATTTCCTTAAAAAACTGAAAATAGAAATATCATTTGATCCAGCTATTCCATTACTAAGAATATATCCTAAAGAGGTGAGAGACAGAACATGAGCAGACATATACAAACCCACGTTCATCACAGCACAATTCACTATAGCAAAGAGATAGAAACAACCTAAATGCCCTTTAACAGATGAGTGGCTAACCAAATTATGGTACATTCAGACAATGAAATATTATGCTACATTAAAGAATAATGAAGGATACACGAATCATTTCACAATGTGGATGAAAATGGAGGACATTAATGCTGAGTGAAGTAAGTCATTCACAGAAGGACATATTTTATGATCCCATTATTGTAAAAAGTCAAGGAAGGATTTACTTAGGGAAGGAAACCCACTTTGTAGGTTACCAGAAATGGAGAGGAAAGGGAAGGAGAATTTCAGGCTAGTTGGAGGTCACATGTTGATTTGGGTAAGAGGAGGGATGTTATGGAAAGAGTCTGTGACCAGCATGATGACACTGGGGAAAGGAAGGACACTGAAATATATACAAATGATATAGACAACAGAGGCAACAACTAGTATATGCACAATACTGCATTACCACTAATACCAAACACCAGGCTACAGATAATGCACAGACAACTGAGAAGATCGGGGGGTGGGGGGTGTCAGTGAATAGCAAGGTACCCTAGACCAAGAATAGGTTTAGCTGAAGAAAATCTTACATAGATACTAGTGATGCAAAATTAGCCACACACATTACAGAAGCAATAGAAGATAGAGTTGGAGTAACCTCTCAGAGAAAACCTTGAGAGAGAGAATCACTGGGCCTGCCGACTTGGGACCATAGTATTGGGGGACACCAAGCTCAATTGGCACAGCATAGTACATAAAAATCTTATTCCACCACTGCTTAGATGAGTAGTGACTGAGGTCTTAAAAGCTTTCGAGTGGCCATCTAAGATGCAACTACTCGTCTTCTCTCATCTGAAGCAAAGAAGCATGAAGAAAATCAAGGGCATTTGGAAACAATTAGTCCAAGATGATGGACCTCGAGTCCAAGATGATGGACCTCGAGTCCAGAAGAACTCGATGGTGCCTGGCTAACAATGCCAACCACTCGGGAAGGGAGCAAAATTGGAGATCCTGCATAATGAGGAGGAAAATGTGGAGTGGGAGGAAAAATGTGGAACAAAATTCCAAAACACAAAAATGACCAGTATTACTGGTCAGATAGTCTGGGGGACCAAGACATCCCTGAGATGATACCCTTTGGGCCTAGAATTGGATTCACTCCCAAGGACTGGCTGTCAACCCAGCAGTAGAAAGACTTACATGCAGAACACCTACCCCAGGGTAATGCACCCACTTACTCTAGGAAGATACACCCCTTCGAACAATCAGCCATGGGGCACCATAGGGGCAGCATTCGCATGGGGGGAAGCTGGACAAACAGGAGTGCATGGTTAAGGGCACAGAGAGGAGGTGGTCACGGGGATGGGAGAGGAGGAGAGTTTGTTATTCTCAGGCATGGTAATGGTGTGTGAAATCAAATGTACAGGAACTGTTGAATATAAAACAAATTTTGCTGTGTAAATTTGCACCCAAAGCACACACACACACACACGCACAAGATTTGAGTTACTGAAGAGCCCTAAGTTAAATCATAGGTTAGAATGAAGGGACTGGGATATGAGGGTGAAAACTCTAGGAACTTAACATGTTAAGAGCATGAGGAAGAGAGCAGGATAATCAGAATGAGGAGAACTAGGATATTTAAGTTTCACAGAAGCTATAGGAAGCAGGTGTGCAATGTGACCAAGGAAGACAAAAACTGGGGGGAAAATCCAACAAATTTTAAAATAAAAGGAATGAGACAAAGCAATTGCTTGTAGAGACAGAGGACAGCTATTATGCCCCTAATATTCTTTGAGTAATGGACACATAAAAGCACAAAAATTCGGATCCTATGGAATTTTCCAACTTATATCTCCTTGTACAAACTTGACAAAAAGAAATTAAAAGACAGTTTATATACATATACATATATGCATATATATAAATACACACACACACATATATATATACATATATATTATGTATATATATAAAGAACAACAACAAAAAACATGAAACAATATGGCACAATATTTATTCTTCTCTCTAGGCCTGTGTATAATCTATTCTAGTCTAATACTTGAAATGTAATTGGAAATATGATAAGAATATTTTAAGAACCTTGAAATTAATGTGATAGACTTTAGGTAAATCAATAGTAAATAAATGATATCAATGCACTAATATGAGAGCATATGATGTGCTTAGAAAAGCATAATACAGTATAATTTAAAAGAAATGGAAAATGTTTCATAGGAAGTTAATTGAAAAGCAGCATTCTAAACTACTTATGGGGGGCAGGAAAGGAATCTCGTATTTAGAAATAATTTACTCACATATAAAAAAATAAATTCCAAGTACCACAGGAGACAAAAAAATGTGATCAGTTATTTATTTCTATTTAGGGAAAATAATTTTTTCTTTACATATCTTCTTGAATATGTGAACATTTCTTGTTGTACATGTAAAACCGATGTGTTCACTGACATAAATAAATATAAATAAATAAATTTGATTTTACAAAAAACAAGATTTACAATTTGGCTATGAACATTTCACTTCACAAATATAGAATATTTTATGTTAATATTATGTCATCTCTGGGTACTTTTAAGGACATTAAATCAAAGAAGACTCCTTTCACATGGCTCTTCTTTCAAAAAAAGATTGTGCTAAGGACAAAATTACAGCTGATCCATCTTACTAATAGGCTAAATCCTGGTTCCTTATCTGTATCTGTGTCACAAAGGAAGAATTATTCTTTCATTCTATACTCCTCCCTTGCCACCAACTAACTCAAGAAACTCAACACTCTTTGGTTATCATCATGTTTTTCCTTTTAGTATTTTCCAATCCATTTGGACTCGTTTTACTAGATAAGAAAAGATGAAAATGCCTTATAACCAAAGATTATTTTACAAAGTGGTTCAGTTCACTTTGGCAATTTTGCTTAGAAGAGACCGTTTCCATTTTTCATTTGTTTGTTTTCAGTATCCAATTAGTGTTTTTTGTTTATCTTAAATAGCCAATGGATTTTTAAAATTTTTTACTTCCCTTTAAAGTAAAAGTAACTTTACCATCTAATGAAAAAAAAAAGTCACTTACTTCCTTTGATTCACGCTCACATAAACCAAGCTCTATACTTCTCTATACATTTAGGAGAGTGCTCACTCTTAATCTGGCCAGTTCTGTTTTCAAGAGGTTTTGGTAAGTTCAGAATGTGATTTCACGATGAACTCTTTTCTCTTTGCTTCATTGACATCCCTGTGTGTCTTAAAGACAATGATAACATGCAAAACAAAGAGGACTACTATAAATATTGTGTCCACTCCTCCAAAAAGTTCTAAGGAAACTAGAAATATTCTGTGCACTTGTGTGCACTTCTTCTTAAGCTCTTCTTTGGCTAAATCGGCTAGCCCATGGTTACTAGCGTCATAAGCAAAACTGTCAATGTTATACATGTGTGTCCTGAAAGTTAAAAAAAAAAAAAAAAGGTTAAAATCAAAACGATTTACTGGTGATAAACTTAATTTTGAGCTACTATGTGTTAAAAGAATGAAGAAGTTAATTTGAGATGCAAAAAAATGCAAAATTAGTAAATTATAGAGTATGGACAACATCTGAGTAATCATAGCAATACCAATTAAATACTAATTGAGTTTTCAGTTTCTTGAGATTAATAGTGGCAAAGTTAGAATCAATTAAGATAGTTTCAGTTTTCAAGTCAATGAAAACCCCCTGAAGAAATGTATGCTACCTGTGGGTTAGAGGAAAGACTGGTCAAGAAAGAAGACAATTAGAAAGTTTCACAAATACATTTACATGATTATTTTTGTGAAATAATTTTGTATAACAACATGAAACAGACATCTTTTAAGAACTATAAACATGACATAAAAACATTACTTAAAACAAATTTTCAGATTTCCTATAAACACTCAAAACTCTAAAAGCCACCAGGCAAAAGGAGAAACACACACGACACATAGGCCAATTGAAAAGCCCTCAGGTAGCATTCTTCCCCCAACTCCTCATCTCAATACTCATGGCATTGTTAGCATCTAATCATTATAATAAACTGAGTGCAAAACACAACATGAGATCAGCATATCCCAGAAGAGTCCAGAACTGGTGACATGTCATGCTAATGAGAGATTCCAAGTGTTAGTCAGAAAGGAAGATAAACAAGTGTGTCAGTAATAGACGCATAAACTTCTATTATCCATTAACAGTCATAGATAAACACTTAGCCAATGGTATTGATGGACATTATGCCAACTACAGAAATGTGATTGTATGAAACCATATACCTTTTATAATTTACCAGAAGGTCCTATTTCTGAGGCACCACTAGTCAAAGTTAATTTGTTGTTCTCATGTGTGTCATAAGAGCTGAATAGTAGAGAAGAGGAAATATTAATTGAATTATGTTATTTTAATCTCAATCTCAATTTCACCTTTAATAACAATCAAAATGTGAAATCAAATATTTGCTTACAATACCCATCCCTTTCATAAACTAAAAACAAACAAACAAAAAAAACCCAAACTCACTGCCATCAAGTCGATTTCAACTCATACTGGCCCACTTTGGGTTTTCAAGGCGGTAAATCTTTTTGGAAGTAGATTAGCCAGTCTTCCTTCCATGGATTGGCTGGTCGGTTTGAACCGACAACCACCTGGTTAGCATTCAAATGCTTTAGGCAGTACACCACCAGAGCTCCTTTCATAAACTAAAATGTGCCATAAAAATGGAGTACTTCTAAAAGAAGTAAATAAACCTTCCACATGAAAACACAAGGATCACCGAATGAAGCTACATCATCACCATCACATCACAATTTTCCCTTGCCCTCATAAAGATCAAAATTTTAAATGAAATCAATACACAATCAGGAGAACCAACAAGCACACATAAAGTTTCCCTTCACTCTAGATAGCTTATACTTCAAAAATAAGTCAAGTGGAATGTTTTTTATGTGTACATGAAAAAGGCAAATTCCTTCTTAGGGTTTGCATACATTTTCCTCTCATTCACAGAGGGAAAAATTAAATTTATTGCAAAATCCCAACATGATTCAAACAAATATTTCCTTCTACTTTCCAGCACTTTTAAGTCTATTAAAAAATCATGATTGATTTTTTTTTTTTTTTTAAATCACAGTTTGTAAAGAAATTGATGAAAGCCAAGAGAGAACTCTTGGGGAACTCAACACATCCTGTTTCTTCCCCCCTACCAAATTCCAAAGCACTGGTTTTGGAAGGTGAACTGATAAGAGTCTGTTGCAAAAGGAGAGCTGGAGTGAATGCAAGGGAGTACATGAGATTTGTGGTTTAATTAATTTTCAGAGTAATTTTGCTGAGGCATCTGTACCAACTTGACTTACTTCATATGACTTAGAACTTAGTAGTGGTTTTTTTTTTTTTTTTTTTTGCTGGGCACTAAACCACATTCTTAAAATTTCTGAAAAGAGCAAGTTATATTTTATTATAGTTCATTTTATAGCACCTAGCATATTTTATTGACCTTAAACAAGTATCTGTGAAAACTATTTAAAAACAAGACAAAATGGGATCTCATGGTCAAATATTTTTACTAAAGGATTGAACCATTTAGTGATTTAAAGAATGTTGCATACTATACCTTAAATAAGTTTAAATAATAGCATTAATTTACAGAGAAAGAAGTTACAGAGAATGAAAATATATAGCTCACATCACACAAAGAATTAAAATAGGCATCTTAGTAATAGCATTAAAATATAATTGTTCTTAAGTAGTTAATGAAAAAGAATGGGCAGGCATTAAGGCAGTTTAGAAATAAGTCTATACAGACTCCACAATTAGCTTTTCTAACAGAAGAAAGCTACAAAATAGAAGTTTCAATTTAAATAATCCTTTGTCTATAGGGGAGCTCTGGTGGCGTAGTGCCTGAGGCATTTGACTGCTAACCAGAAGGCTGACAGTTCAAACCCACCAGACACTCCTCAGAAGGAAGATTGGGCAATCTACTTCTGCAATGATACCAAGCCTCAGAAACCCAAGGAGGGGTCGCTATGAGTCAGATCCAACTCGACAGCAGTGTGTTTTTTGTCTATAGGTATATTAGGGCCAACCATGACATATGTATTTAATGTATGTGAATTCAATGCAGATCAGATATTTCAAATAACACTGAATTTTTTTTTTTTTTTTTTCTTTTCTGTGTGTTGTCTGCTTACTGTGTGCCAAGAAATGTTCTAACCTCTTCATTGGTGACACTTAGTTGATCCTCACTGCAACCCCATGCAGGAGCTCTGGTAGCGTAGTGCCTAAGGCACTTGACTGTTAACCAGAAGGCTGGAGGTTCAAACCCACCAGCTACTCCTTGGAAGGAAGATGGGTAAATCTACTTCCATAGTGATACTGCCTCAGAAACCCAAGGAGGGGTCACTATGAGTTGGGTCCGATTCGACGGCACATAACAACAATAACAACAACCCATGCAGTATCCATTGTTATCAAATCAATTCTAACTCAGAGTGACCCTTTAGGGACAGACTAGAACTGCCCTGTTTCCAAGACTGTAAATCTTTATGGAAGCAGACTGCCTTATAGTTCTTAGATGGGCTTGAACTGCCAACCATTTCCTTAGCAGTTGAATGCTTTAACCACGATACCACCAGAGCTCCCATGAGGTAGGTACTAAATTTTTTCCCATTTCACAAGTGAGGAAACTGAGACAGAGAGAGTTAAGTTGCTCAGATTCATGTAGACCCAGGATGCCAACTGAGCAAACAAGTTCCAGAGCTCATCCACTTAACCACTAGGCTCTTTTTGGTTAGCAGCGGAATCTACTATCGAAACTCAGCAAAAGATCCAATCATAGGCAATTTAACAATAAATTAGAGGCTGACATTTCCTTCATTTCTTTGTTTCAGTACAACACATAGATACTAACAAATTATACTGAGTAGTAAAAGAGGTGAATTGATTGCAACAAGTGAGACTTCAGCTTTCAAATTACTTTCCATTGAAATGTGGCTAGTGTCTTTCACTACATTGAATTTTTTTTTAAAAAAATCACACAGATACACACACACCTACAAAGAGTCTGTTTATCCTGGGTAGTAATTCCAGACAAAAGGAATGAAGAGATAACATGTCAAAAATGCAAAAATGCAAAGGGAGTTATCTTACTGATATATTATCATATTTTATTGGAAAGAAGTTAAGAATAAATTCTTAAAAAGTCATCAGAATTTCTGCTCACCCTGATTTTCCATAGTCCCGGAAAATTTTGACTAGAATTATGGTACCAGTTATTACAGTACCAGCAATCAATCCTTGAAGGGAAAAAATTTGGAAGCATAGTTAATAGAAACATGAGCAATGACATCAGTGTAGTTTCTCAGTGACAAACACTGGATATGAAGCAACTTAAAGAAAAAATAGAAGACAAGAATGACTGTTTGTATATCACTTCCTTATATCACAAGTTTGATAATAAGCACTGGATATTATTTTTCCTTTTCTCTTTCAAAGAAAACTGAAACAAAACATTTATAAATAAAATATCACAATGCTCAAATAAAATTTGTTTGACAGGTTTGGGAGTATTCTAAAATGTTTCAACCTCACCATGCTCAATTTTAAATGTCGTGGTCATTCAAATACGATGGCTGAGTTATGTAATTTCACAGGTAGAAAGTACATTGGAGTTCATCTAGTTCAACAGCCTCATTTTGTTGATATGTGAATTGGTTCCAGAAAGGTGCAGGTTACATATAGGTTGAGTAAAGACAACAGACACACAGGTGTTTCCCTTTCATAGGAAACATGCCCATACCATTGTCATTGGAGCAAAGAGGGTATCATATAGTTACTTTGCCTATAGAACATGCTTTTCAGTATTCAGTCTAGTGCAGAGAAAATTTCATTTAGGAAAAATAGTATTTAATTGTAAAATAAAGTGCGCTATTTTGAGTTGAAGGAAAGCAAATAATTGGTCAAATAAGTTAGTCAACAGCAAATAATTTTTATAGCTTGCATGGTCTTTCTTCCCCAAATCATCCATTTACCCTTTCTTGTTACCGCCTCAACCTTCCTTTTGTTCCCTATACTCACCTCGCCCAATGTCACTGGTCTCTACTTCCTTAATTTGTATTACAAAATAAATAACAGATGGCATTAGAGAAACAACTGAAGCTAGTGTGACTAATAGGTACATTGGGTTCCAAATCAGCAAAAAATAGGTGTCATACAATTGAGTGACCATTGAGGTTCATGTTAAAAAATAATAATCTGCGTCTATTTGTGGTTCTCAAAACCAAACCAAACTCACTGTCTTTGAGTTGACTCATAGTGATTCCCCCTTGGGTTTCCGAGGCAGTATCACTATGGAAGTAGATTGCCCAATGTTCCTTCCAAGGAGTGTCTGGTGGGTTTGAACTGCCAGCCTTCTGGTTAGCAGTCAAATGCCTAAGGCACTACACACTTAGGGTTCTAGAGTGAGTTTAAAGGATTAAGGTAAAAGCCTCAGAGATTATCTGCAGATCCAATCCCTGAGCAAACCTTGTTTTCAGTTCCTGTGCAGTCTTGTAGCACTCCAGATGTGTTGATAAATTCAGCCTCTGACCCAGAGTAGAATTTTTACATGTTTCGTTGTATTCTAAGAGCAGCTAATTCCTTCACTGGTAAATTTTTGCAGTATTTTACCAAACCAATTTCTTAACTGATCCTCTAGTGCTCTATCATTAGCTTAGAAAGATTTTGTATCCATAAAATAAACCTTGGCTCTTCATAAACTTTGGGTTTCTCTTCCTCTCACCACTTCCCATTCATTTTGCCTTTCAAAACATTTCAGAAACATCCAGTTTACAATTTAAATGATAAATGAAGATAGAAATTCAAAAGTGATCCTCAGTGTCTATATGACAAAAGTAAAAGGCTATTCCAAGAAAACCAATCAGCACATATGTGTGATTCGACTAGGAAGTTTGTGGAGGCTGATGGTTTAACAGAAAACTGGAGAAAAACACAGAAACATGAGAAACATAATTCAATATAAATGTTTCCTCAGTGAATTAATGAGACTATTATATCCCAAATTAGAAACAATACTTTCAGGTATAAAGGCAATTGTTCGTGATCTCAAAATTCACTTGGTATATACCAAAAACCAACCCAAAAATGTCAGTTTAAGATTTATGCAATTTGGGATAAATTAAATCATGAAATAATGAAACATTTATTATTCCATTGTTCCTAATCAATAATTAAAGAGTTCTTGGGGAGCAATATTACATAATTTTCCAATTTTTTTTTTCAAAAAAAAGGGAGTATTTTAGTAGTGTTCCCATTATGCAGAATTATATTCAACATGTTCTTGTTGTTGTTAGGTGTCACCGAGTCGGCTTTGACTCATAACAACCCTATACACAACAGAACAAAACACTTCCCAGTCCTGTGCCAGCCCCACAGTCCTTGCTATGTCTGAGCCCGTTGTAGCAGCTACTGTGTCAATCCATCACGTTGAGGGCCTTCCTCTTTTTCATTGACCCTCCACTTTACCAAACATGATATCCTTCTGCAGGGAATAGTCTCTTCTGACAATATGACCAAAGTAGGTCAAATGAAGTCTGTCTATTTTTGCTTCCAAGGAGCATTATGGCTGCACTTCTTCCAGGACAGATTTGTTAGCTGTTTTGACAGTCTGTGGTACTTTCAGTATTCTTCACCAACGCCACAACTTAAAAACATCAACTCTTCTATGGTCTTCCTTATTAATTGTCCAGCTCTCATATGCATATGAGGTGATTGAAAATACTAATATATACACCCCTCCTTGGGTTGCCGAGGCAGTATCACTACGGAAGTAGATTGCCCAATGTTCCTTCCGAGGAGTGGCTGGTGGGTTTGAAACACCAGCCTTCTGGTTAGCAGTCAAGTGCCTTAGGCACTATGCTACCAGAGCTCCTAACAACAACAACAACAACAACATGGCTTTAGTTAGGTGCACCTAAGTTTTCAGAGACATCTTTGCTCTTCAGAACTTAAAAAGGTCTTTTGCAGCAGATTTTCCCAATGTAATACATCATCTGATGTCTTGACTGCTGCTTCCATTGGTGTTGATTGTAGAACCAAGTACTACGAAATATTTGACAACTTCAATCTTTTCTCCATTTATCATGATGTTGCTTATTGGTCCAGTTGTGAGGATTTTCATTTTCTTTATGTTGAGATGGAATTCATACTTCAGACTATAGTTTTAATCTTCATCAGTAAGTGCTTAAAGTAATCCTCACTTTCACATAGTTTTTAAAATATTACAAGGCAGTTCTTCATCTATTATCTTATTTGATCACCTCCAACAACTAGAACAATGCTTGGTAAATAGTAGGAAGCATTTAGTAAGTATTTATTAGATTGCATTGAATGATACCTGTCTTAGGCTAGATTCTCTAGAGAAGCAAAACCAATGAAACTATCTATATATGTATGGTGGGATAGTGCCTAAGGCATTTGACTGCTGGCCAGAAGGTTGGTGGTTCAAACCCACCAGCCATTCTGTGGAAGACTGGGCAATCTACTTCCATTAAGATTTACTGCCTCTTAAAGAGGGAGAACAATGTGGTACAAAACTCAAAATCATTTGGAGACAAAAAAAAAAAAAAAAGAAGGTGCAGACCAGGTTTGCTGGTCCAATGGAGCCTGGTGTAACCACTGAGACTATGGCCCCTAGCTGCTCTTCAGGTCTGGAATTGAACCCACAACTGT